TATTTGTTTTCTTATAACTACAATGATTTCTCTCATTGTAATCGTCATCACACAAACTCATCAGAATCATCACGTCAACTAGGAAACTACAGTAAACTATCACAGCCGGTGGAGGCAGCCTGGACTCGGCCCATAACCATCTCTGTTTGGTCTATTGTCAGTATCCTAACTATGAATATGAGGATTTAAGGGAGAGGTTAAAAGTGAAATTGATTTCATGGAGCAGAGGCTTGTGGAGTTTTTGTTATTGGAGAAACTAGGAACAGCTCAGAACACAAAGATATGTCAACTAAACTTTGATAAGCTACATTTTGTAAACAGAAAAAGGTTTCATGTCTTTTTGTTTTTGTTGTTCTCAGCAGACAATAAACCTCTTCCAGACAGACTTTGTTTTTTGCCTTAGTTATTTATTTATTTAATCATTTTTTATCTTTTACTTTACTTACCAGTAACATTGATCCTGACAGTGTCACTTGTTGGAGAGCTGATGTTTTGACTTGAATACAAACAGTGATACAATCCCTCGCTGTCAAAGTCCACTTTAGAGATGTTAAAAGCAGCAGACATGTTGTTTCGTGTTTGGCTCTCTTGGTGTAAGCCTGCATTTTTCATTAGAGTGAACTTTTCAAGTAAAAGCTGGTGAGTTGGGATGGAACAATTGATGGTAACGTCCTGACCCCAGGTAACCTCACCAGCAGGACTCATGGTGATTTGGGGTTTTGGAAGGCTCTCTGAAAAGAAATTAGAACAGGATGTGAACTAGAGATGTGCTGAGAGCCCAGTATTTGTAATCGTTTCTGTATTAGTTGAGGCAGCAAATTTATTGGTATTTGAATAAAAGTGTATATAGGTGTAACAATCCTGTGTCTCCTAACATGTCTCATTTTAGGATAGTACCAGCTATTTTACCTGATCGTACCAAGTGAAACAGCTGGCTACATTCTTACTGGCTACATGGCTGAACGGAACTGGTCAAATTACCAGTAAGGACCAGAATGACCAAACAGTGCTATAGCACAACCCACAACATTTTCTCAGTTTCAGTGCTTGTTTCTCACTAATGCCTCTCTCTCTTTGTGTCTCTCTTCATTCATTTTCAAGCTCGTCTGACCACCAATGCTCTCTCTCTTTCTCTCAGCAGCACCACATTTGGGCATAAAGATAAAAAGAGTGTAACATCAGCCAGTACAAAGCTTATTTTGAACAGGTACAAAGAGGGCAGCAGTGAGCAAAACTGATGAGCAAAGCTTTCTGACTGACTTCACCTACTGTCAGAAACATATAACATGACTTTCGCTTGCTGAACAGTTTACATTATCAAGCCAGATTTGGCCGGTTCTTTGACCAAAGTAAGTTGATCCATGAGCACTCAGCACTGTACCACAGCCCATCTGTTTGCAAACAGCCTCAGCATCATTTAAGTCCCAGTCATAATTGCAAATTGTTCCCTAGGTGTTCATGTAAAGATTTCAACTCTTCCATCACACAGAGTGAACTCAGACCCAGCTAATCTGATCTGACCATCTAATGAAAGAAAAAGCATAACATACAGTACAGTATTTCTGTCATGTTATTGACACAGAACTTTTTCATGTTAAACTAGAAATATTTTTATAAGTTACACAGGAGACACAGTAAAACTGACCTGCAGCAGGTGAAGATGGGGTAAAAGGAATGAAGACTGTAGGAGAGAAAATAAAATAATGCAAATGATTATTTTTTTTAAGTTAGGTGCAATGAATTGTATAAAATGCATCTCACCTATGGTCAAATAGAACAAGTTTCTCTGTCTGCTCCCCATGGCTGAGAAAGAAAGAATGCGCTGAACAATATGAGTCTTCAGTGGCAACACAGAAGATAGAAAACTGAAGTAAATGCAGAAACATTTCACACAGTATTCTCTTGCTCAAAAACACTTCCTCTTTTCTGGTGTTTTATGAAGCGAGTCTACGCATCTTTCAGGCTATAGAGAGCAGTGGACAGCTGTTAAAACCAAGCCATGCATCTGTCACTTACACAGCGTACAAATGCATGTGTAGTTGTTTGTGGGTTTGAACCTACTGGCCGATGGGGGCTTTTCTGTGAAGTCTACATAAGATACTATGAGATATACCTTATTTACATATATAATGTGAGATATAAACTTGCTCTGGTTTCCTTAATACAATACACTTTACACTGTTTACTCTGTACACAATAATCATTCCACAAGAACCTGTTTTCAATTACATTTTGCAATAAATAGTATTAAGTGCTCTATGCTCTATATTAAAATATGAGTGGAGTCAGATTTTCTGTGCTTGCTTGATCAAGGTCTGGCCATTCATAAGCTTTTCACAGCAAATTTAAACTGGTGACAAATGTGTGATTTCAGCTGAAATAATAGGTTACCATACCAAGTAGTATTATCATAATGTTTGACAGTTAAGGTTAAAAAAAAGCATTAATTTCGGTTCAACTCCACAAGTTACAGCCTTTGTTGTAGTTTGGAGCACATTGTGTTTGAAAGGGTAAGGTTCAGTATGACAGGTGGTGGTCGACAGAACAATCACTTCTCAGGTGCAGGCTTTATTAATTCCAGTCTTACCAGTCATACACAGCATGTATGTATAGACCAAAGGCCGTATCTTAATACTTAAAGTGTTCCTTCCTACTTTATGGAGTGCCTCTCTAACTTGACTGGACAGACTTGGATGCCTGCAGGAATAAGACTCTTTTCTTTACCTTGTTAGCGTGAGCATTCACTACTGTTCACTGGCAAGAGAGAAAGGTCTGAGTAATTTTAGATGCTGAATTCTAAACAGAACTTGAAAGTCACATAACTAAGAAAGGTACAATGATTAATCCTCACATTACATTTGGGTCACAGTTAATATACCATAATGATACGCCATGCATTTTCATTAGTAAACTGTGTTGTTTTGTTTTTTATGTATCAGTACCAACACACTGGTGGTAGAACTGGTGTTAAGGTAGCGTAGGCTATGTTAGCATGGCTAACCAAAACACATTGGAAAATCCTGGGCTGCCATTTACGTACGTAGACTCATCACAACATGTGATTGGATCACAATCCATCTTAGTGGTTGTTTACACTTATTTAATGCACAGACTGACATGTAATGTGAACGCATGTGGAAGCAGGGTCATAGAAAATGATTTTAAAGTATTTTTGAAATGCTAATTTTTAAGTATCAGGTTTATCAATGATGACAGGCAGTTAAAAACACAGATCCGAGTAAGTAAATGCAGAACTAAATATAACTTCCTTACGTACAAATACTGTATACATATATATATATATATATATATTCCTTAGGTTATCTCCAGTGTTGATTCACATCACAGAGAGTACTGTACCTCCTTGAGCCTCACACACCACAACTCCACTCCTATATAGACCGTCTCTCTTGACAACTTTATAAACCATTCAAGAAACTTTCCCTAAAGGTTTGGAACAGGTCTCTTAAGATTAACCTCAAGTGACTCCTAAAGACTCTGATACTGTATGCTTTTCAAGTGGCACCTTCTGGGAACCTTAAGGGAACATTCACTAGAGGTACAGTAAAGGTTAAAAAAAAACTTTCAAGGAATGTCTGTGGAACCAATATACCTTTCAAAACTCTTCCTAGAAATCTGTGTATAAATCTGTAGAAAAAATGCACTTGTATGTGTAAATACAACCGTATTTGTAGTATGAAACAGCTATGCCTGTAATATTAGTAACAATGAGTGAGCAGCTCTGTTTTAACAGTTAGATTTTGGGGACGACATGAATCCATTGAGGAGAGTTATTACTGCAGAGCAGAGCGACATGAGTTTAACAGTTTCAATAAAGATTTATGTTACATACCATTAATGCTGCATTATTTGCTCCAGTTCAGTTCTGCTCTCCTGTCTGCAGACCTGATGCAGTGTTCAGAAGCAGCCACTAGAGGCCACCACAATACAGGGTTTTAATAAAGGCATAGTCTTCTAGTAACAGGATGTTTTATCAGGTACAGCGGCTGCATGAATCACATCTTAAGGGAATTGTAGTCATTTTTAGTTCCATTTGAGTTCTGCATGAACACTCATATGTGCACGCAGGGCGACACTGACAGCTTGCTGAGCCTCATAGCGTGAGAAGTATGAGGAAGTGCCTGGTGTGAGAGCTGCCACCGCAGCCCTGTGGCAACTCAGCCCGAGGCCTGCGGTAGTCTGCTGTAGTCGAG